AATTCCTGCTAATCCTATAATAATCCTTCATTATTGTTATACTTGATACAAAGATACAGGTTTTTATTAAGATGAATAATTTTTTCTTTTCTTTTTTTCATTTTAGCAAATATTCTGAAAATTTGGTTGCGTTTATTGAAAGTAATGAAGCAGACAAATTTAATAAGATGTAAATGCTTGAGAGATTATAAAAAAATAATCATAATTGAAGACTTTTTCTCTTTTTTTTTCAAGACTTTAACAATCGTGTAGTATTTTATCAAGTTCTGGTTGGAGAAAGTTAATGTTTCTCAATCGTAAAGTTTGATCTGAAACAGTTACACGGAATCATCAGTGTTAATGTTCAAAATTCACCAGAGCAACTTTTTATGATCAATCAATAATATGTATGGCAGGAATACGAGAAACCTTAAATGAACTAACCATATCTGACTAGAATGATTTATAAAAATGATTAGTGACTGCGCATTTTTAAATTTAGTAAATACTTTTGAGTGTTTTTTTGAAAAGATTTTCATACAAAATTTATTTGCTCACAAAAATGCGCAGTCACTAATCATTTTTAAATGACGCTAATCAATCAACTTTTTGCAAATGATCCCAGTTCATTTCTTCATATTATTGATTATTGAAATAATAACCTATAATGATAATAATATTTACTTAAGTTAAGAATGATTGCTTATCGAATTATCATTTTACTACTCACAACAATCTGTCTATCATTAATTATGGCAAATATTTTAACATTCAATTTTTGCATTATTTGCATGACATCGAATAATTATGAATATGTTGAAGGCACAATCAAAAAATCGGACTATAAGAACGGTAAGATTTTACAAAAATGGCGTCAATCGTAACTTTCTTTTTATATCAAAATTTTGTAGATAACTACGACCAAAAAATATGCAAAAAAAATTAATATTTTGTGAAAAGTTTACTGTAAATCTCTTAAATAGTCATCGCAGCAGTTAAAGTATTAGCTAGGTTCTTTCACTTCAGATTTTAACTCCACTTGGAAAGCTAATCAAGCAGACAAAGCTGGTCTTCTACGATTGATTGCTAGTGAATTAAATTCTTGTGAGCATCGAAACAAGCAGTGCACTAATACTTCGATGCAGGCAATTTATTAGCTTAAATTTCTTGAATTAATTAATTATGGTAGTTGATTAGGCATAAGTGCTGGCTGTAAATAGGTATGTTGGTACTACTGGTATTAATGGAATAAACCACAGATCTTTCGTCATTTCAGCTGTTTGAAACTTTTAATCTTAAACTGACCATACTTCTTTATGATTCACTACCCGATTCCGAGGAAAGGATTGGTGGATTTTCGGATTGCATCAGTCATTTCTACACAAATTATATAAATATTTCCCATACAAAAGAGATAAGGCACAGCAACGAGTGGTTTCTATCCACTGTCTTCTGACTCATTGAGCCATTGCGCTTCCACTGCGCCACATGCCGTGTCCGATCTCTACATGACTATTACAACTGATACGTCAATTTCCTATTCATCAGTACGATAAATAGTACCATATCAGGCAAGAAAATGCCATAGCAGCCAGTAGTTTCTATCCACTGACCTCTGGCTTATGAACCCAACGCACATACTCTGCGCTACGCTTATCAAGAGCCACAGCTGCGAGATACTCTTAATATTCATATTAAATTAAAGATACTGAAATCATGAATTCCAAGTCGAGAATATCTGATTTCTCTTTACACTTTATCAATGTGATGATTAGCTAATGTCTTTTGTAATCAAATCTGAATTCACTGCATGCACAAATGGAAGTATTTTAGAAGTTAGTGAGGGAGACAATTTTTGATCGCCACGAAATGTTTCTATTTTAGGACATTGATATTTTATCACTACAAAGTAATGGTGTCATTTCTTACCGGCAACGAATAATTCGCAAACTTGCGGATTACAATTATACTCCACGTGAGCAGTCTGTTCTATTTTCAGCTGTTGCTATTGGAGCATTACTAGCGATTTATCCAATAAGTCTCAGTATTGAGTATTACGGGACAAGGTATGCTAACAATGCTCTTCATGCCTTGCTTGTTTGACCTCTTTACTCAGAATAATGACTTCTTGCTAAACAATTACGTAAAGTATGTAGATGTAATGATACCTGAGATGCCTCAGCAAAATTAGCATTCTTCAATCATAATTGCGCATAACAAATTTAAATTATCCAAATTTGTTTATTCGCAGTTTTGCTATAAAAAAAAACAACTAATATTGACAAGAAGAAATGCTTTCAGGAATACCTTTGCGTTCGTTATAGCTATTTCAGCATCATCAACAGCTTTTTGTCCTTTAGCTGCTTCCTATGGAACCATCTGCTTGACCTTTTTACGTATGATTCAAGGTCAACAAAGTTACTTCTTTAAAAGCCAAGCAAACTGTATAAATATTTTTCAGTGTCACGCAAATGATGCCATTTGTCACGAAGAGATAAACAACCTTGAAATAACTAGTGGGTATAAATAGCTTGAATACGCAGACTTGGAAAAGCATTCAAATGCATACTTTGAATACTTCGGGATGCATATATAATTTATGCAAAGTATGCAGTTAAAAATAAACCACTTTAGGTATTGGATTCGCATGCTGCATGCCTCTGATAGGTTCTGTAACATCAAGTTGGGCACAAATGATCGAAAATGGACTATTCAGTGGAGCACTAACTAGTTTTATTCAGGTCTATTAATTATATAATAATTAACTTTCATTGCTTATTTAAGTGAGTGAATTCAATTCATTTCGCACAAAATGGAAATGAGTACTCACAAACACTTAATTAATAATTTGGTGAGAATACTTTAAGTTATTTGCGTTTTTGAAGCGCAAACTAGTAATCGCAAATAACTTGGAAACAAATTTAGAACACTGAGAGTGAGCTATTTTTTCTTGCTTTACAATTTTTGGCACCACAAAAATTACTTGCCAATTTAAAGAACAAAAATTTCTTATCGTAGGAAAGATACCTTAATGAAACTAAACGCTAAAAAGCTAAAAATGATCTAAAATCTAAATATCAGAGATGAAATTCATGTGCAAATTCAAAATTTCTCATAATTAGCAGGTGTTTTTTAAAGCTAATGCATCATTTGGTGGAACTTTCAATACTAGGAGAGTTATATTTATAATAGATATATGTTATTTTCATAAAATTTTCTAGACACCAACAGATTGAGTTACTGAAAATAGAGCTAACTCAGAAAAGTCTGATGCTAAATTCGACAGGACGAGTAATAACAGCCTCGAGTGCACATATACATATTATTCTTACTACCATTTTTTAGTGATTTACAGCAACTAAAGAATAGTAGAATTGTTAATTGACAATTACAGTGATGTTTATTGATTAATTACAGCATAAATGTGCGATCATCACTGACCGGTAAGACTAATGGTGTAGTATGTACCGGTAAGACTAATGGTGTAGTATGTAACCAGGGAATAAATGTGAGGAATTGCAAAATAAGGAGCGGGTCTGAAGGTATTGAGAAGGCTGAATGGTGTTGACGACTCGCAAGCGCTATCCGGCCACTGTCATGACGCGGGGACTTTTGCCTGCTGCCTTTCGGCCCTGAGCCGTACGCCCCTCATTGTTCAACCAGGTCACATGACGTTCCCGATATGTAACCTTATTGACGCCACGCTTAGCCTGGACGCTCGGTCGTCATCGCCAAGCACCAACCAGGGCCCCTTCTCTCACTCCATCCACCGTACCAAGCCTCCCAGTCACTTGGATTACAAGCGCTCGCCACAACGCCCGGCAACTGTGCAAAAATTTTTATCCCTTACATACATTTATTTATTTTTCATTTTGTTTGTTTTTTTATTTTTATTTAAATCGCATCATATTAAATTTTTCTCAGTATTTAAGTTTGTTATGTAAGTCAATAAAAACTTTAATTTAAATAAGTGATAATTTAGGAATATTATTCTATTTTAAATTTTTAAATGAAACTATCCAAGTAATAATAATGTTACAATTCAAAAGCGCATTCATAATATGCATGACAATTTGATTAGTTTTAACAATAAATCAAATTAGTTGGATTGTTTTGGAATTTTATCTTATACTATCTTATACTTTCTTCATTCTCCTGATTAAAGTTTGTTTTGTAAATCAATAAAAACAATGGCCATCCAATCTGTGTTGTGAACAGGAATCCTGTAATTAATCTTAAATCAGAATCTTGCAGCTTGGACCTGCAATAACAATGCCATTATCGGGATTCTTGTGTGCAACACAGATTGGATGGCCATTGGCATTTTACATTCATTCAGCATTGACATGGATATTCTTGACCATTTGGTGGATTTTATACAGGTAAGTAAAGAAAAGTTTTTTACCCTGAAAATCTTTTTTTGACCTGTCAATAACTACCATTTTGATTGAATTTGAATATGATACGTTCAAAGTTTAACTGCCCACTGGATATATAATATGATGGTATGTTTTGAGAGATGAGCCAAGTAAAGCTTACTGGGTTTCTGCTTGTGAATTAAGACTGATTAGTAATGGCAAAGTAGAGAAAAAAGCGCAACGAAATGATACAAAGGTATGAATTACAATTTGTTTTTTCATGCTTATCAAATTTCATATTTAAATTAATTTATCACTTCTAATCATTTATGTTATATGAAAAACAAATTTAGGCAAAAATGTGAATTTGTAAACTTTAAGTTGCCAGTTGGAGAAATCTTTGCTACACCTTCTGTTTGGGCAATTTGGGTAGCTGCTGCAGCCAATATGTACAGCATTCAAATGGTTGTCGTATTTGCCCCAACTTATATAAATCAAGTAATCTCCAGTATAGTATCTTCGTGCATTTGAAAATAATGGATGAATTGTATTTCTTATACAATTGCTAAGAATAACCATTAAGTTACTTAAATGTTCTCTGAACTGAAAATCAAGTTACAGGTTCTTGGTCTACCTGTTGTCAGTGTTGGCTGGACAGCAGCTCTACCAACATTGCTACAGTTTGTGATTAAAATTTTGGCTGGCATCGGTAGTGATAAAATTACCTTTCTGAATGAAACAACTAAAGTTAGTCACTGAAAATTTTGCTCTCACTAATTTAATTTATACGTGAGATACGAAGTTCATGTTTTCATCTCGTCATTTGTTTAACTTACAAATACAAATTATGCTGACAGCTTTGAGAATATTTTAACGAATAAATTATCAAAATCCATTTTGATTTATTCATTAGCGCCGAGAAGAATAGCTGTTTCTGCAAAGTTATGAACTTTCAAGTAACTTAAAGCAGCTCATAACTAGTCCAGAGATTGTTGCTTACAGCAACAATCTCTGGACTAGTTATGAGCTTCTTAGGACTCAAACAATAATACCAAAAGTAGAGTGATCGAATACTTTGAAATGATGGCCAAACTTTAAGTTCGTTTTATTGGTTGCTTGAAAGTTTAGTACTTGTAAAATACTATTGGTTTATAGGTCCGTTTGTTTAATACTATAGCATTTTTTGGTATGGCAACGTTTTTAATAGCTCTTGCATATACGCCAACATCTCGAACTACTTTAGCACTTACTTTCCTAATCAGTTCAACAGCAATTCTTGGTTTTAATACCGGTGGCTTTTTCAAGAGTTCCTCATTGGTAGCCCAAGAGTTCAGCTACTTTATCAACACCATTGTGCAGGTCTCTTTAACTCTATTGTAAATTTTAACCACTACCGTGTTATGTTTGCCGTAAAAGAGAGCTTGAAATTGCCAACGTGATGTAAATTTGCGTTTGAATAACTATATATTATCAGTTAATGAGAATTTCTCCGAAAATTTCATTTATGAATATCTGCCAAGTTATGGTTTTTCTTTTTGAATTTCAAAAAATACTACGACTTTGAAACAAACCTCCCTAGTCAATAAACGCTTTCACAATATCTCATAAGTTAAATAAGGAATTTCATTCAGGTTGTCATGTGTACAGCAATGTTAACAGTACCATTTACCGTATCGTTATTGACACCAAATGGCTCAGCAGAAGAGTGGTACTCCGTGTTCATTCTGCATGCTGTAATGCTTATCTTCGCTAATTTATTATTTTGCAAATTTGGAAAAGGCACAGTAGCCAGTTTTGTTCGTTCTATTTCAATAGCAAAAGATATAAAGATACATTTCTAATGTCAAAGTTTACTGTAGCAATTTTTTAGATCCTAAATTTGACTTTGGATTTTTGGATACATATTCTTTTTAAAAATTCAGTAGGTAGAATATAGTCATGTTGATTGGAAAAATATATAAGTACTCAAGGGGTTAAATATGCAAAAGAGAATATAAACATCGCATCATTTTCAATTAAGGGAAATTGAGGTTAGATCCTGAAGTTCAGATCTCAATATGATCTAACACTTACCATCTTAATTTTTGTACTAGGCAGAGATTATAACCTTTACTAGAAAAATAGGTGCGATTTATCACATACAAAAAATATTACAAATACAAAATCACTACAAATTACTACAAATTCTACAAATTTTTTTTTCAAATTTTAATTTAATTTTTTTTCTACAATTTTTAATTTTTTTTTCTACAAATTTTTTTTTCTTTGCTACAGATTTATCACATTCAAAAAATAGCGATTTATTTTACTACTAAAAAATTTTGCTTAGATGTCATGACAGTTGTTTAGAAAATAAGAGTATCCATTTTCAGTAAGATAGTTCTGAGCAGTGTTTTAGGTCATTTCACTTTGTATATATTCTAAGTCTGCAATTGCTGTATATTTGCTGCCAAAATATTCTTATAAGGTACAAATAAACTCATTCATATCAATAGTGATGCACAACAAAGGAGATCACAAAGTTTACACAAATATGCGAAGAAAATATATATGTATTCAAAAAATATTCAGGAAAGGTCAAGGAGCAAAAAACGTAGAAAAAGAAAACAAATGAAAACACTGCAAGACTAGCAGTATAAGAAAGGTTCACTGTTAGCTACTGAGATTTCAACTTAACTTAAAACTGAGTTGAGATCTTTTCATCAGTGAATTATGTTGTTCATATATTCTGAGTAATTTTTAATGTCAAATAATCCCGTTGAACACTGAACGGATAAGAATACAACAAGAATAAGCACTTATGATAAGTTAAGAACAGCTAACCGAACGAAACAAACTGGAATCTTGAAATCAGATCAGCATTCAGATCAATCTAAACTTGCTTATTGGAACAATTAAATTACAAGCCTTGAAAATACATTCCTTTCAATGATAATATTTTATACTACAGTCAAATATACTTCAAAATGAAAATACACATATTCTTCAATACAATCACTGCATATAATAAGTAATATTAAACTTTGATAAGTATTTGTATGAAGAATAAAACTCATTTCTTCTGAGAAATTTGATGTGAATCATAGAAGCGTGTTAACTTAGATGCATATGAATTATCTTGAGTTAATTCATGCAAAATATATGAATGTTCATCAGTAAATATTTGCATGTACAGTGTTTTCAGAATTATATCAATCACCATTGATATTTTAGCTTCATAACTGTGCATATTTATTTAAATAATTAAATTTGGCTCAAAAATAACTACGCAAAAAAGCAGAGAATGATTCTTTTTTTTAAAGCATTGGGTAAGATCACGATGATGATTGATAATTATTAAAAAAATTGTGCAAACAATGCTTGCTAATAAAAGTGTATTCGGCAGACAGCAGTTGATGACAATATTTATGTAATAATCATTTTTTGTTTGCTTAAATAATACATAAGCATTGCTGCAATCATTTTTTAGCAATTTCGATAAAATACTTCAAATATTTTGCTCAAAAATTAAACCTATTTCTAGACAGCATACTCAAAATGTTTTAGAAGTTACTGATCGATGAAGAGAATCGCATCGGAATAGAGATAATTCGTTGATCGGTTTTGTTGAAAATAATAATAATCAAAAAAAAAAACAAATAATAATAATAATGATAACGATAATAATAATAATAATAATAGTAATAATAATAATAATAATAATAACATAAATGAAAATAATAATAATAATAATAATAATAATAATAATAATAATAATAATAATCCATAATTTGTTGCCACATTAAAACATAAACTAATTTTGAATAATTTTAATACTGAAATAATACTTCAAATAATATTCGTTCATTCGATAATATTTTTAATAAAAAGAATGCTTATTTTGATGACAAAATTAATTTTAAAAGAGAAATTGTCAGTTTTTTAGCTCGTCAATTTTGAGAAGTTGTAGACTGAGACTGAACTTTGGATGCATGTAACTTTGCTGACGCAGAAGATGATCGCCTTTTAGCGTTTGTAAGATTGGATTTCGTTTTAACCACATGATGGAACATTGCAAGAGCTTGCATAATCTGTTTAAAATACAATTGTCTGAATTAGCAAGTTTTTGATTTCAATCAATTTAAAAGCAATTTTTAATATAATCAATATTCGATTTTCGATAAGAGACAAAGGTTTTTCATAATTTTCTTGCGTTATTATTTAAGTTATTGAAAAAAGAGTCAACAAAAATTTTTACGTGAAAAAAAATTTTCACGTGTATGATATTTTTAAGAATTCCTCAAATAAATTCAACATTATTTATATTGAGAATAAGTGATGAAGCAGTCATTCACTGGTGTACATAATGACAAGAATGAGAAAATAAGACAAACATTGTCACGTGTATCTGCCGGAATAGTACTGAGGTAGTTGTGAGAGTCAACTTTCAGCATTACCTGAAAGCATATCCTTGTCACTTACTCTTCTTTTACTTTCAACTGAAAAAAATCTATCAAATATTTTTAAGAAAAAAAAAGTATGGCTTATCAAATAAATTATACCATATCAATATGAATATGATATAATTTACTTGATAAAACAAGTATGAATTTAAATACGTTAAGGAAAAGTTTGAACTCACATGTTTCTGTTTCATTTTCGTAGAATCCTTAACTTCAACCATGCAAACACCTTCATCAACACATTCTCTGATTTCAGAGCTGCTTGAGCATGAATCTTGATTTCGAAGATTTCGAACTCGTTCAATCGTCAATTTTACCTTTGGATCTGTTGCTTTGGTAATTATATCATCCAAATCATGCAACACTTTGTAAAGCATTTTAGGTGAAACCTAAAAATGGACTTATTTAAGGGTGTTGATCTCACTAAATCTCTGAAAAACCGATAGAATTAAATAAGCAAAGTTTTTCGCGCACAGTTTTTGACTGTTAATAAGTCCGGAAGAAATTTTATTTGAAAATTCTATCCCATCGTATTTTTTCATCCAAATTACATGAAAACTAAACATTTAAAAAAGCTTAAAAAGTCATATTAAGCATGTTTTTGAGCATTAACTTAAGAACTTAATCAAATCAAATATTTAAGTAATTAATAAATTTAGGTAAAAAAAATGAACTAGCAAGTTTAATGCCAGTGATTAATGTATCAGAGTTTAGTTTAATGCTCGTCGTGTGGCGAAACATATTGAAATTTGTTGCAATTTTTAGTTGAAGAATGAACAAAATGAAGTAATTATTAATAAAATTGAAAACTGTCTGACGTTATTGCTTACTCACATTAAATTCTTCCGCAACAATATAAAGTAGCTCAGATACAGACATTCTTGTGCCACCAAACCATACTTCAACATGCGCTGCCCCCGTAAAATTACGTCCAAGGTAATGCAGTCTTCGCAAATAATTATAGAGTGCAGCAAGAAATGTTGACATTATGACCTGTAAAAACAGTCTTAGCTATTTACAACCTATTAAAAGATTAACAAATCTTAGCGCATCAAAATAATCAGAACAACCATAAATTTTGTAGTTAATTTTTCAATTTATACAAAAATTAATCAATACGATAATGATTGAATGGTCTCTGTGAGTGTTAAATGTCTCGTTACTGCGTCGATTATACTTTATAACAGAAAACTCATTTATTAAGCAATCTTTAATCAATTTGTTTTTTTGTTTTAATTTGTATAATTTTTTGTAATAGTTTTTTTCACTCAAATTCCGC